GGAGGAGAGGGGCTGCTACAGTTATCGGGTTCTTGTTCTTTCATATTTTGAATTATTTAACTTTGTGGATCAAAATAATGGGGAGGAGAAAGGCATAACTATTTTGGTGCAGAAAAAGTTTTCAGTTTGATTTCACTGTGATTTCCCCATTTACCAGCCCTCCATACAAACAAATAAGGAACACTCTGTAATTGTAAATAAACAAACTAGGTCATGATAACAAACTTTATTGTAACAATCCCCATAAATACTTTTAAGTTAACTCAACGGATTGGTTTCAAAAGTTACAGTTGTAATAGGAATGTTTATAACAGTTGTTAAAAAAGCTACAAAACAATGAAATACACTAGGTTCCAGCACTCTAATAACATTGTATGTTGCGTTCAGTAATTAAAAAATCCAACAACTTTTAGATCTGAGTCAATTAGTATTTGTAGCATTGTTGTTTGGGAAACATATGATGTTTGACAGCTGCCCATGAAAGTTGTAACAATTGCCAATTTCAGTCGCTATATTTTTATCTTCTGCATTTGCAATGTAAGAAGTAACAGTTTCATGAAGTCTATGAAGATACACTAAGCATGTTACAGATTTCATCATCAAGTTCTCCTTTCTGTGCAGATCTAGAAATGGCCTCATAGAGGCTTGAGGAACAGTAAAAACATTTGGCTTCATTTTCATCTAGTTTAAAACCACAATAACAAAACTCAGGGAGATGAGCTTCTTTTGGTATGTACTTATCCTTACACTTGGCATACCGAAAATGAAATGGGTCAATTTTCCTAAGCCAGATAGCGCTGATGTACTCATGGCGCATGACTAAGCTCCACCGAGTTGAGAGTGTTGCATGACGTGCAAATGATGACAGAGTTACATGCTTGGCCTCGCGACCTTGCATAGTGTTAATGCCAAGGCCAAATCCAAATTCTCGAAACAATGCTGCATTGTGGAATGGAATTGCATATCCCACAGTCCACACTGTAGGGTTAACTGACTTCATAAGTAGGGAACAAGTGTTAAAGAATAATTGGCAGTGAAACTTAAGTTCTTGACAAATTGCTGCATTAGTTTCAACTCTACTGAATTTTGATACTGCATCACGTAATTGCAGAGCAGCAAAAGCAACTGACATAAGTCTAAGTGATTCAGGCCCCAGGTCATTTTCTCTCCTTAGGGAATCAATAAGAAACATAAATTTGTGGCAAAAGCACTTGGTTTCTTTACCTGTAAATCGATATTCAAATTTCTTTTTTCTCCCTTCCTTCAGCCATTTTTTTATTTTCTTATACAGTCTAGATGCACCAACATCATTCTTTGTTGAAAGGACAAATTTTTTGAGAGGAGTTTCATCAGGCAGGGTTGATAAGTCAACACCCGTAACAGGGATGTTGCTTCGTGAAATTGCTTCCTCCAATAGTATAGAATGGATATACTGCCAAGCATTGTTTGAATTATGTAGTGGTTCTGCAAAAGCAAAGTCTACCAAATGGGCAATGATAGGTTCACATTCTTGTCTAGATTTCTGATCTTTAATAAACTGCGTAAGTTTGCTTCGCTTGGTTGAGGGGGCTAGACGTGTGGCATTAAGTTCATTTTCTTTGGCTTTCACCCTGGCTGCCACAGTGAACCTGTTATTGTAATTCCATGGTTGCCATGTAAACTCTTCACCCTCACCAATTGCCCCATTTACAGTGTATTTGTTTCCATCATGAACATTTGCAAAAGAAGAGAAGTAATGTGCAGCATTACTCAACTCACCAGCAAATGTGGCCAACCACTTCATATCAGAGGGAACTAATTTGAACTTAAATTGCACAGGGTACCCTGCCATAGTATACCTCTTACTTTCAACATAAGCAATGTCAGAAACTAATTTTTTCGCATAGAGCTTCATGACAACTTGAGACTCGGAGCAATTTGCTCCAGCAAGGAGGAAGTTTTCATTGTGGCTCGCAATTCGTTCTCCTACATTGATAAAAGAAAGAAGCGACGCAGTCGCTTCATCGTCCTTTCCGAATGGTGCACCGTAAGCACCAATGGCTACTTTGAATTGGTATGGAGCCTCATTAAAATGATGAAAAAATGGTGATCCTTCCTTGCTTAATACTTTATCGACATGAATGTACAAATTTGCGAGTTCAAGTAGAAAGTCCTCAAGTTGCCTGAAAGCTCCTTCCACTTGTTCATCCTCCCATAAGTTTCCACAAAATTCTGATTTCATATCAATTACTTCACCAACTTGAATAGATTTGAGAAAAGAAATAACCTTTTCGTAAGTAAGAATTTTGGGTACTTTCACTCCTGATACCTTAATACAGCTTCTACGAGCACTATTTCCATCAGATTTCATGTACAGGCTTTGCCTCACAGATTTGTATTTTTCTTTACTAATTAATCCTTTACAATACAAAACCTTTACACTTCTAACTGCATTGTCAGTGCTTTCTTCAAATTCAGCTACTTCTTTGTTTACAACTGATGGAAGTACTTTCTTTGCTTTCTTAGAGCATTTGACATAGTCCTTGAGTTGCTCGGAACTTGCAGTACCAACTAATGAGACCCACATACCATCAAGGCAAGGTCTTTTGTCACTGTCTGTGGCACCATGAATTTCAGCACATGCCTCAATGGTTTCATGTTTACGTTTCCGTGAAGTCCGTGGCTTCACAAACCTATCTTGAAGCCTTTCTGAGTTTTCAGACTGGATTAGCGAAGGTGTCTTTCTTCGTGACTTTTTAATTCATTCTTCTCTTCCTCTTTGTTTCAGAAAGAACTTGTTTAGAGGGAGTCCTCACTGATTCTAGTTCAGATACCTTGATTGGCATCTTTTGACCTAAGTGAAAAAAAAATTGTGTAATTAACTTGATAATAATGCATAATTATGAAGATTTTAATGTTTTCTCTCTGGTGATAAAAATCTGAAAATACCAATACACAATAAAGCACTTATTTATCCTACATCTTAACACAGAATAATACACTGTACAAAGAGTTGATTGGCAGGAAGTAAACTGCTCTCGACTGAATGGGATTTAATTGTAGCATGACTGGCATATGGCATACTGATAAACATTGTGCCTGGCCAGGAAACCTAAGCTTAACGTGAGTAAACAGTCATTATAAAAAAAACCCTCGAATTACAATCTCGAAAATAGTGTGCTTATTCCGACACTTTCTAGCACACCACTTACCTTCTTACTCACACGGTCGACTTTCCTTTTTTCTTCTTGAAGGCTTTGGCAGTTTTCAAGGTAAATTTCTTGTAGTTCTTTTCTTCTAGTCGCTAATTTACCAATCGGGAAAAGGTACTTCGACGTAGTTTTTGTGCTTCTGTTGTTATGCCTCCCTTTTTTCCCCATCGCTCTGTAGCAGTAGCTTCAAGGTTGCTTTCCTTATGTACGAATTTTGAATGAAGTGAAGTAACCACGAGCGGTTCAATTTTTCGAGGCAAGTACAACTGAAAGGCAAGAAAGAACTCCAGAATTCAACACCCGATAATTCTTTGAGGTATCTATCGTTTTAAAATCGTCGAAATAAACCGAGAAAATTAACGAACAGCTTAAGTCGTTCAAATAAGCAGGAATGGACTTACCTTGAAAGGGTGCTTTCGAGCGGCGAAGGATATTTGAAAATTTTGTCGTGAAAACATTGTGAAATGGCCGACCCCTGAACAGTCCATGTGCTTTACTCTATCCCACAGATCATAGCGACTCGTGTAATAATGTATTCCAGTTGATTTATATGCAAATCCATGCAGACAAAAGAGCGGCCATTTTGAAATTTGATATCCGAAAAACCGCTGACAGAAAACGTGCCATTTTTAGGCGCATCCCAGCCCGGCGTGTTTCTGTTACTCGCCACTGTCGATGTTGTTCCAAAAAAAACAACTTGTCAGAGTGTTTAGCACGGATTCCACCTAAAATAACTTTGTACGGACGTCTTTTTAAATACAATTACGTGGGTGTACTCAGCCTATATGATTATTAGTAGTGATTTCTTGTTTGCAATCAAAAGGGGCACGTATATCTTCAAGCATTAAGGATAATTTTGTAGGTTTTCGAAGCATCAGAAGTTCGACAAGTGGGCGATGGCTGCAGAAAAGCGGCAAACATGTTGGTCTAAACTTCACATTAAAACCGAATACGAAAGCCAGCTCACTACAATTCAGTAAAACAGAAATAAAAACAAATCGTGGTTACATTGCAGATAAGAAGGTAATACTTGGACTTTATAGGCACTTATTCAACTGCGATAATTAATTACACATTAATCACAAAGGAGCAACTCTAAATTCGTTAAACGTCAGTGAAATGTATGTGATGATACCTGAATGCATGCATGTTTTTTGTTGGCAAGCTCATTTGGTAAAAAAAAGCTCTTTTCTAGTATAGGTATAGCCATCCCCATATTTTTGCATGTGCTCTTAGTCATTATAGAGACGGTGATGACCGGTTATTATGTGACATTGAAATATCACGCAGGCAGAACCCAGAACTATCGCCTGAAAATTGTTTGCCACTTTAAAGTGACTCGATTCTACTTAATTTTGCCTTGCAAACAACATAATTGGACTTTAGGTAGTTATTCAATTTAGATGTAATTATTGTATTTATAAAATATTGCTTTCATCATTCGTTAATAATTAAGGATTATAAACTCTTCTGGGCGAAGTATTTCAAATCACAGCAAAAAACAGCCCAGTTTGAACGTGGTTAGAATCACGACCTACGTACTTTTGTAAGAGTTCAATACTGTATCGATAAATACTTAGCAACAGAATCTTCAAAGAATATGACACGCAAACACCCATCCCTTAAAATCATGATTGGAAAATAATCTGAAGGTTATCTTTAATTAATTTTTTTTTTCTTTAAATGTTATTCGATTTAAGCGTAGTAGTTATTCGGGAACTTGTGTTGGCTTTTTTCAGTTTTTTTTGTTGCTCGATAATCATGAAGTGGTTTGAAGATAAGCAAAGAAGTCGTGTCGGAACATGTTTGATTGACACTGAATTAAAATTCTAATCAATATCAAGCACTACCCACCCTGAGGGAGTTACTTTAAATAGGCTGTAACCTCTAATGTTTGGGGATGATAGAGATCAACAAAAACAAGGCAACAGTCATCATTCATATGACACTGGATTGAATTTTCAGAGTTGCTTTTGTTAAACTACGCAATCGTTTCAGTGCGATCTCTCTTTTGGCCGCATAAGATCCCTACCCCGGGTCTACCATGTAAGCGCATAGACATGAACATATAATAAGAGGTTCTAAAGGTTAGTATAGGTAATAGCATGATTTGTAGTGATATTTGGCATAAATACCACGAGTGATATTTTGAAATTGTTACACGTAATATCACGAGCAGTTAGGGGGGTGAAATTTGAGACAATTTTGAAATATCACCAGTGGTATTTGTGCCAAATATCAGGTACAAATCATGCTATCATTTGTTTATACTGCTACCCGCAAAAGGTTTGCAATTTTCTCATGTAGGTATTTCAAATTAAGCTGAAATACCACTGCTCTAAGGCAATCAAATTGCAGTAATTTCTCATGTAGTAGTATACTCCCAAAAAAAAAGGCCAGCTCCAACAAAACATGCGTGTCTATGCATACGTGACCCGGGGGGGGGGGGGGGACTTAAGAAATTTCTGGGTGAGAATGTGCGGCTGGGACCTTGGAACCCTTAAGCTTTGTTAGAGCTATTTCAGCTAAGTTTTCCTCCCCTATACTAAAGTAAAATCCCAAATACCCCCCTACCCCAAAGAGGTATTTTTCAAGTTGCCTGAAAGCTCCTTCCACTTGTTCATCCTCCCATAAGTTTCCACAAAATTCTGATTTCATATCAATTACTTCACCAACTTGAATAGATTTGAGAAAAGAAATAACCTTTTCGTAAGTAAGAATTTTGGGTACTTTCACTCCTGATACCTTAATACAGCTTCTACGAGCACTATTTCCATCAGATTTCATGTACAGGCTTTGCCTCACAGATTTGTATTTTTCTTTACTAATTAATCCTTTACAATACAAAACCTTTACACTTCTAACTGCATTGTCAGTGCTTTCTTCAAATTCAGCTACTTCTTTGTTTACAACTGATGGAAGTACTTTCTTTGCTTTCTTAGAGCATTTGACATAGTCCTTGAGTTGCTCGGAACTTGCAGTACCAACTAATGAGACCCACATACCATCAAGGCAAGGTCTTTTGTCACTGTCTGTGGCACCATGAATTTCAGCACATGCCTCAATGGTTTCATGTTTACGTTTCCGTGAAGTCCGTGGCTTCACAAACCTATCTTGAAGCCTTTCTGAGTTTTCAGACTGGATTAGCGAAGGTGTCTTTCTTCGTGACTTTTTAATTCATTCTTCTCTTCCTCTTTGTTTCAGAAAGAACTTGTTTAGAGGGAGTCCTCACTGATTCTAGTTCAGATACCTTGATTGGCATCTTTTGACCTAAGTGAAAAAAAAATTGTGTAATTAACTTGATAATAATGCATAATTATGAAGATTTTAATGTTTTCTCTCTGGTGATAAAAATCTGAAAATACCAATACACAATAAAGCACTTATTTATCCTACATCTTAACACAGAATAATACACTGTACAAAGAGTTGATTGGCAGGAAGTAAACTGCTCTCGACTGAATGGGATTTAATTGTAGCATGACTGGCATATGGCATACTGATAAACATTGTGCCTGGCCAGGAAACCTAAGCTTAACGTGAGTAAACAGTCATTATAAAAAAAACCCTCGAATTACAATCTCGAAAATAGTGTGCTTATTCCGACACTTTCTAGCACACCACTTACCTTCTTACTCACACGGTCGACTTTCCTTTTTTCTTCTTGAAGGCTTTGGCAGTTTTCAAGGTAAATTTCTTGTAGTTCTTTTCTTCTAGTCGCTAATTTACCAATCGGG